TTATTATTATAAAAGAAGAAAATTCTTTCACATCGCCTTCTTCAATGCTCATCGATGACGCCGTGAATTATTGGCTCTGGTGAGTCAACATCTCAGCCAGCTAATTGCTATTTATTATGATGCATGCTAATGGTATTGTATACTCTATATATGTATGTGCGTGTGTGTTCAAGGAACCACTACTTCCCCGTGCGAAACATCGAGTCTTGTTTCCGAGAGTGCGGAGATATTTCCCTTGTTTGAGAGATGGCAATGGTCCTGGATTCATTTGTTTCAAGATACATTGAACAAGTGACGAGCTTTGTTGAGGGAGAGATATGCAAAGTGCTGGGCGTGAAGAAGGAGATCAAGACGCTGAAGGAGAAGCTGGAGATGATCAAATGTTACCTCGAAAGTGCAGAGCGGAAAAGCCGTGGGGATCCCGGCATCGAGGCCTGGGTGAGGAAGCTGAAAGACATCATGTACGATGCCGACGACATCATCGATCTGTGCATGATGGACGGTGGCAAACTGTTGGAGGCTGGGGGATCAGCATCGGCTTCGGGGGTAAGCTTCGCTTTCAGCTTTGTTTCTTCTTGCTTTCGGTGTACCAAACACCGCCATGAGATTGCGGGTAAAATCGAAGCCATTAATGGTAGACTGAAACAAATAGCTGAGGATACCTCCATCCTTAGTAATCTACAGTCTTCTGGTAGTCACCAACCCCAACCCGAAAAACCAACTGCACTTGAGACGTCTCCCCTGGTACTAGAGGAGGACATTGTGGGGGAACAAATCGAAGAAGCTGCCGACGATCTAATCAATCGTATGTTGGAGAACACCGAACAAAAGTGTCGTGTTTTTGGGATTGTTGGAATGGGCGGAATCGGAAAGTCCACTCTGGCAGGTAAAATAATCAATGATGAAAGGATCAAAGCAAACTTTCCTATCCAAAAGTGGTTGTATATCTCAAAGGATTATTTGGAGATCAAGTTACTCAGAGAGTTAATTCGGTGTTCAGGAGATGAAACCAAAGCAAAATCTTTTGAGGGAGAAAGCAGAGCAGAATTGGAGCCCAAACTTGCCTCGCTTCTTACTAAAAATTTATTTCTCGTGTTGGACGACGTGTGGAGTCCAAATGTATGGACTGATTTCCTGAGGAAACCACTAAGTAAAGGAGCAGGTAGCAGCACGATCTTAGTTACCACTCGAAACGAAACAGTGTTAAGAGGTATGAAAGCCAGCTATATGCACCAAGCTGAGAAAATGGATGATAACAGCGGGTGGATGTTGCTTGGGAAGACTGTATTCGCAGCTGGGGAGGAGGATGACATGCGTCGGTTGGAGGAAGTAGGTAGGAAAATTGTTAGAAAATGTGATGGACTTCCTCTTGCTATCAAAGCTATTGCAGGGGTTCTAATTTCCAAGGACAGAAGCACAGCGGAGTGGGAACAAGTCCTCGAGAATGACGCATGGAGTAGGAACCAGCAGATTGACGAAGAAGTTCCAAGGGCTTTGCACTTGAGCTATGAGGATCTACCATCTCATCTGAAACAATGCTTTCTTTATTGCTCGTTCTTCATGTGCGAGTTTTATCATTACAAAGATATTATTCGGTTTTGGGTAGCAGAAGGCCTTATTGTAGAAGCAGGAGGTAGGCTGATGGAAGATGTAGCCGAGGAGTACTATTGGGAACTAATTTGGAGGAATCTTCTACAAGTGGATCCATCGTTTGTAAACAGGAATGTGTTTTGTATGCATGACCATTTACGAGCGCTCGCTACACACTTGATGAAAGAAGAAGGACTTTCGATTACAGTTGGTCAGAGATTAAATATAAAAGCCAACGCTAAGATTCGTCGGTTGTCGATATCTAACATGGGAATAAAACTAGTACTGTCGGATCACATCATAAAAGAGAAATGTTTGAGAACTTTAGTGGTAAGAGACTCCCTCCCAACCACAATAATTGATGATAACGTGCTCGAAGGGTTACCGAATTTACGAGTATTGGATCTTTGCGATACATCAATCGAAAGAATTCCAAATTGCATCGGAGATCTATTGCACCTGAGATACCTAGATCTTGATAGAACAAAGATTCATGAGATACCGGAGTCAATAGGACGCCTTGTAAACCTTCAAATTTTGAATATCTCAGGATGTAAACGCTTGCACAGGCTTCCCATGACCATCACGAGGCTATACAATCTAAGGAGTCTTGTTATTGATGACACTCCTCTGACTCATGTACCGAAGGGAATTGGAAAATTGATAAACATTAACAGACTCGAAGGATTTGTGATCGGTCATGACAATCCGACGAACGAGGTGGACGAGACCGGGTGTGGATTAGAGGAGCTACAACATCTTTCCAAGCTAAGATATCTGAGCATATACAGGCTAGAGAGGGCAGTGACGGCAGCTTCGGCACTAGCGGAGAAACGTTCTCTTAGGGAACTAATTTTAAGTTGGATGCCACCAGTAGATGGGGAAGATGGAGATGCCACTGATAGTGGTGACGATAGAAGAGCAACAACATTGAGAAAGGAGGAGCAAATCCAGATGGGAGCCGAGAAGATATGTAATGAACTCTCTCCTCCTTCCAGCTTACGAACTCTTGTCATCGTACGATTCCCGGGTCGACAATTCCCAAACTGGATGATGTCGTCCTCCCTGGGCGAATCACTCCCTAACCTGCAATACTTGCATCTTTCGGTGTTCCCATCATGCGCAGAGCTCCCTCCTCTGGGCATGCTGCCCCTGCTGAAATCTCTTAAGATCGAAGGAGCCAAAGCGGTCAAAACCATTGGGCCTGAGTTTCTCGGCCACAGTTTCCCAGGAACTTGTGCATTTCCCAAACTTGAGCATTTGAATATCAGCGACATGCCCAATTGGGAAGAATGGTCACTATGCGGGGTGGAGGAAGGTGGTCACAGAACACACCTGAAGCTGTTTCCCAATCTAACGAAATGTTGTCTCCTAGGCTGTCCCAAACTGAGAGCTCTTCCGGAAGGCCTATCCCAGGCTACCAACTTGAAGGAATTGCACATTTGGGGAGCTCACAACTTGAGAGAAGTCACAAAGCTCCGCTTGAGTTACAACCTGTCTGTCACAGATAACAAGATGCTGAACAGAATATCCGACGTTGCCATGAAGTATCTGGAGGTGGACGATTGCCCCAATCTAGAGTGCGTCGATAATCTCGACGAGTTGCAGCACCTGGTCCTGATATGTCCGGAACATATGGATCAGCTTCCCCAATGGTTATCCCGCTTAATTGATCAACAGCGCCCTAATTCTGCACAATGGAGCTTCCGCAAACTTGAAGTGTACTGCAACATAGTGCTGCTAAGGAGCTGTCTCGAGGGCAACGAGCATTGGAACATCATCCAACAGATTCCAGACGTCCTAATTCAAACCTATTTCAAGGAAGTATACATGCGATACATCAAGGACCCATACATGTATGAAACATATGTACCTCCAGAATAAGGGCATTGGTCTTCCTTGCAAGTCATTTTTCTTGGTT